GAAAAATTTTCTTCGGAGGCAGTTGTAACCTGCACCGATCATAATGCGACCAAGCGCAAAAATGTGAATTGATCGATTAACCAGTTGACATATAATGGGGAAATTCGGTTGCAGGCTTACCAGTTTCCGTTTGCGAACAAACCCTTTCTGCGCATGTCTCAGACTGTTCTTCTATTCAGAAGGAGAAGAAGCGATCACTGGAACAAGAGTTTTATTGTCCTGACGTTTCGAATTCCGCCGGGAACCCTTAGTCATAGGTAATCGTAAACAAGTCTGAGACATGCGCAGATTAAGGATTCCAGAGGGAACCGGAAACGTCAGGACAATAAACCTCTTGTTCCAGTGATTGCTTCTTCTACTTCCGAACTGCTTCCTGGAACTCGGATATTCTTCTCTATTGGCAAACATTATACTTTAAACCTACTGATTCACTTTTGCGATGCCAGATGCTGTTGATACTTAAGATGGTCCAGAATCATTTGCGACCACTGAACGTCCTGTTTTGAAATGGTCAGAATCTTGCACTATCTCAAAGCAAAACAATTCTTGGAGGATATTACATCTAGAACATGCTCTGAGTATGCTTTCGCTCGGGTAAGTATTTTGGTCGTACATGGCGGTTGAGAAGCTCAAAACTAGTCTTCAAAAGTGTATTGAGCTTATTCACGGACGCTCATGATTAATATGCAATTAATCTAATAAATATTTTTGATCCTGTGAGTTTCTTACTTGAACGCAGCATAAAAAAGCATTTTGATTTCAATTGTAACACAAATTCGGAAAATGGACAGGAAAACCTCATCTGTGTATGCATTCGCCAACAGTAGACGTGGTGGCAAATGCAAAATGTTTTTTTCGATTAGAACTTATAGTTTAAGTTGGGTTGTAATACCAATTGCCCTCGTACTTCAGTCACCTCAGGCTGCCGAATATTGAACGAGATTCCAACTGAGCGCTGTCTTAACTATCTTCAAAATATATTTGAATACACAAACACATCGAAAATCATTAGGAAAAAAACGCATGCCACTTGAGCATCTACATTCATATAGTATGGTAACGGTAGTCCGGTGGGGTGGAGCTCATTTAAAAGCCATTATCCTGAAGTGACTTCAATATTATACTAGTAGTATTCCGGCGAAGGCAGAAGGCAATCCTAGAATACGTATTTCTGGCTACTGGCCTTCATCAGCTAGGAGTAGCACAACTCTAGTGTAGCCGCTGAAATTGCTGCCACACTCGGTTTTCTAACTCGTGTCTCGCCGGTCAGGGGCAAACGTCCTTACCATTGAGCCATCGAGTTCAGTGTCTTGCCGGTTTTTGATCGGAAGTCTATAGTATTTGATTGTACACCAATCTACCTTTCAGGATGTATCCATCCTGGATGGAAGATCACAAAACATGTCAACATATGCGAAAGATTGATACTCTTTTGCTAATCGACATCGACTCAGGTTGTGATACTGGTTATC